TTTTTTTTTTTTTTTAGTGAACCAGATAAGTCTTATCTTTTTCAAAACCTCCCCTTTAGCACTGCCCCTCACACCTCCCCTCCTCACCCCAAAGTTTTTCCCGGGGCTGGGGGTCCCTCACTCCTTGCCTTGTCGTCTCAATAAATGAGAATGACTGAGGAACCCCAAACTAAGAGGGGCCGCCTGAAGAGTAGGAACAAGGGAAGCGTGCGCCCTGGAGTCTGGCACCCCTGAAGCAGAGCAGACTCAGGGTGGGCCCCGAGGGTATGGTTTCCACAGGGTGCGCAGAGTGGTGTTCTCCTCCAGAGGGAACCGTTCCCAGCAGGGGAGCTTGCGCCGGGCATTGGCTCCCATCTGACCCTTACTCTCAGGGTGACACGGAATCCAGGGGAAGGAAGGCCCCGTTGAGTGACTTAAAGACTTTGACACTGTCCTATTGCTAATGCCTCCTCAGAGTAGAACCAAGGCTTCCAGAAGTAGTTCTAGGGGGAGACTCCAGGAGCCCATGCTTCTTCCCTGGACTCCAGCCCTGGAGGGTGTCTAAGGACATGGGGGGGCGGGAACCCAAGGAGGAGCCAATGTTGCATTTCTGGGGGTCTCTGCTCCAAGGTGTCTGCAGCTAATGTGTCCCCCTGCCTCCCCTCGCTCACAGTGTGCGAGAGCTTCCGCTGTCCCCAAGTGCAATGTGGTGTGGGCACTGCCCTGGTGGAGGTATGGAGCCCAGACCGGTGCTGTCCCTACAAGTCCTGCGGTGAGTCCCTGGACGGGGATGGCCCTACCCAAAGGCCGAGATCCAAAGAGGGGGGCAGGGGAGGAAGGGCCCCCCCCCCACTGTCAACCTGCTCGCATTCTAGCCCTCCAGAATCACCAAGACTGCCTTCCTCCCCCTGGCGTCTGATCTCTGGCGGCTTAGCTTTCCTACACCTTTTTCTCTCCAGAATGAAAGAAGGAACAAAATCAAGTTCCCTGTTCCCAAAAGACTTTTCCATCTAAAAAAAAAAAAGTTTTTGTTGCAGCTGTCTGTTAGTAAACATGGTCTTTGTTAAAATTTACCTCAAACCCCTTTGGGCGCCTCCATGATCAATAATGAACACCAGTAAACTTTATGTAAAAATGTTATTTAAAAAGAGTTGAGAAAATATTTTGCATTTATTTCACTTGTCTTTTTTCCAGGCCTCCAATGTCAATTTCACGAGGGCAGAGATTTTAGTCTGTTTTATTCATTGCTTTGTCCCCAGAGCACGGAAAAACCTCCTGCATAGAGTAGGCGCTTAAAACTGTTTGCTGCAGGAGTGAGGGACCAGGGAGAGTGTTTTCACAGCCGCTCCGACCTTGTGCTCTCCTCCCGTGAAGCTAGGGCGGGTGTGTCTGTTAGTTTGCTAGCTCCCCCGCAGCTCCTTGCTGGGATATATATTTGGGAAAGATAGATGGTCAGAAGTTTCACCCCTGCCATGTGAAGAGGCCCCACATCTGCTCTAGAAAGGGCTCTCGGGAGGACGGAGGACCAGGCAGGATGAAGCCCAGATGACAAAAGGAACCTGCCATTGGTCTGTCTGCCTGTTCAGCCTCACCCACCTCTGGAGTGAAGCTTAGAACTAGGACCCACCCCTGCCCCCCACCTGCCCCAAGGCTGGAGGAAGGCTGAAATTTTGGCTTCTTCTCCCCAACCCCCACCCTGACCGGGCCTGAGGCTGGGCCAGAGGAGGGGCTGCTCGGGAGCGAGCGGCCTGGGGGCCCAGGGAGACTTCCGCCTGGACATCTCCCGGTGAGATGGGTCCCGGCCCCCTCCTGTTTTTCAGAGTGTGACTGCGACACAATCCCGGTGCCCCGGTGCCACCTGGTATGGAAACCCTGCTTCTCTCCACTCTCTGCCTCCCCCTTTCCTTTCCACTCTGTCCCATCCCCTGGAGACCCTAGTCCTTTAATGTAGTGCAGAGAGCCTTGTCCTAAGCTCTGCTTTCTGAGCACAGTGTCCGCATTTGCAAAGTGGGCATGCTCAGGCTTCAGCATTGTGGTGAGCAGGTACCACGATGATGATGATGATGGTGGGGGGGGGTGGGGGGGGAAGATGATGATGATGGTGATGAAACGGCAGCTCATGTTTACTGAGAGCTAACTATATGTCAGGAGCCTTCCTAGGCCTTTTATGTCTATTGTCAAATTAATTCTCATGACAGCCCAATGAGGTTGATTCCATGATGATCTCAGTTATACAAGCAAGGAAACTAAGGTTAAGGTCATGAAGCTAGTAAATCACAGTCAGGATTAGAACCCAGGAAATCTGACTCCAGAGGCCATGCCCTTTGCCACCAGGCCGCACGGCCCCTGAGGGAAGGGAAAATACTTTAAGAAATGCGAAGTTATGTTTAAAAGTTTTTTCACCATTTTCTGGATTATATATATTCTCCTCACCCCGTCTCCCCCAGCACACATTTCCTCATTTTCTCCCCCTCCCATCCTTCCTCTTCTCCCTTCAACTGATGAAGGAGATGGGTAAATGGTATAAGCCGTGTAGGGTTCTTGGCTGGCAGCCATGCAATTGTCCCTCGCTGAGGTGGCCAGTGAGTGCTTGGGACGAAAGGAGAGCCCTTAGGTCCCGGGAGAGGACGCTGGGGAGTGATCCTCAGTGGGGAAGCCAGGCATTTCTCCTTGGCCGGGGAGTGACTGAGCTGCCCGGGAGCCCAGGGCCCCCAGGCCTGCCAGCCCCCTGCCCACCCACTGCAAGGAGGCGACTGACAAAGACAAGGGCCCGGGGAGGGGGGCAGACTGCTCCCAAGGGTGGGGCTGGGCTTCTGCACCCCGGGGTGCTCACTGCCTCTGCCCCACCCAGTGGGAGAAGTCCCAGCTGGACGAGGAGTTCTTGCACAGCATGGAGAATGTGTGCGGCTGCGCCAAATACGAGTGTGGTGAGTGGGGAAGGGAAGCCCATGGGGTAGAGCCAGGCTGGGCCGGCCAGGCTGGGCCGGATGTGGCTGCCAGGCTCTCTCGGTGACTGTGGCCATCCGGCTCGCCCATGCAGCCAAGGCCCCCGTGTGCCTGAGCCGCGAGCTGGGGGTGATGCTGCCAGGACAGACCGTGGTGGAGCTCTCAGCCGACGGCGTGTGCCACACCTCGCGCTGCACTCACGTGCTCGACCCCCTTACCAGCTTCTACCAAATCAACACCACCTCTGTGCTGTGTGACGTCCGCTGTGAGGTGGTAGGTGCGGGGCGGGAGGGCGGTGGCCACGGTCAGGGGGGCTGGCCTGGGGGACCCTGGGTGATCCAGGAGTCAGAGGAGCCTCAAGCCTTCTAGACACTTCTGAAGAGTAGGCCTGGAGGGAGAGGCCCTTCAGAGAACCCTGTGGAAGGTGCTAAGCTCGGGCTGGGTTGGGAGAGGCCAGGAGGGGAACAGCAAGAGTGCGGGTCTGGCCAGGGCAGGTATCTCACGGAGAGAACACATACTGCTGAGGCACCTACTTATGACTGGCACACTCTTTATTGCTCTGTGTGTGTGTGTGTGTGTGTGTGTGTTGCTACTCTTTGTTGAGCACTTCTGTGTGCCCAGTATCTAGGAGAGTGACTGGCTTCTAGTAAAAGCTAATGAGGGTAGGGGGTGGAATTATTCCCATTTGTCAAATGAGAAAGCTGAGGCTTAAGGAGGTGCAGTCATTTGTCCAAATTCCCACAGGCACTGGGCCTCAAATTGAGGTCTATGTACAACCAGAACGAGCACCCTTAATCACCAGCAATGCTACCTCTGAAAGGGGTGGAAATGCTCTTCGTCCGCGGGGGTTGGGTCTAGGAGTGGCTGTGGAGGAGGCTTAAGGAAGAAGTAAGGTTGACCTTCCTGCCTGAGATGGGAGGCTGGGAGCTCCCTTTCTGGGCGGGGGGAGGGGGGGTGTTCTTCTCTGGGCTTTGGGCTCAGAGACCTCAGACAGTAGGAAAGGCAGGAGGGTGGAGGTGGGCACGTGGCTGAGGCCCCTCCCGTCCTGCCCTGTCCTGCAGAACCAGGAGTACGAGCACCCACGGGACCTGGCGGCCTGCTGTGGCTCCTGCAGGAACGTGTCCTGCCTCTTCACTTTCCCCAACGGCACCACCTCCCTGTTCTTGGTAGGCAGCCCCCTAGCCACCCACCCGCGGAGGCGTGCCGGGGGGCGGCCAGGGCTCAGGGCAGTGCGGGGTCCTGGGCTGCGCCCGTGTTCGGAGCCGTGCCCTCTCAGTTCCCTCGGGCCACCCGGCCACGAGCCCCCCTCGCCCACCTCTGTGCTCTCTAGCCTGGGGCGTCCTGGGTCGCAGACTGTGCCCGTTACCACTGCAGCAACACGCCCCTGGGCGCCGTGCTCGTCCGCTCACCCATCAGCTGCCCCCCGCTCAACGAGACCGAGTGCGCCAAGGTCAGTGCCAGCCCCACCTGCCACGGCAGGGCCTGAAGCCAGGGATATCGGCCGTCTTACTGGCGGGGGGCGGGGGTCCTGCGTGCAGGGATGAGGGAGGAGGGGCTCCCTGAGCCCGAACGTGCCCTGCCTCCCCAGCTCCACATCTCTCCGTGTGGTCCTGCTCCGGCCACATCACGCGGCACGTCCTCACACATCACTCGGCCGCGCACAGATGTACGCAGACGTCCGTCCTCACATACACACCAACACGGACAGTCAGTCCCTCACACACACCACACACCGCGCGGGGCCGTTAACACCTGGGCCTGCCAGAGCACACACCACGCTCCGTCACACACTGGGGCACACGCAGCACACACAGCACACCGGTGCCCAGTTCAGGCCTGGGACCGTCTAACGGCCCCGGCACTAAGCAAACCAGCACCAGCGGGGACAGCTGTCACTATGGGCAGACCTCACGGGCAAGGATATCCGGAGGCTTGGGTTATTGTTGCATTATTGAAGTTCCTGAGATTAATACTGGACATTGATAGATTTCCGATCTTACCCAGAAAACAAATACACACGTTCCCGGTCACACTCACACACTCACAACACAAAATCTCACGTGTACACACACACGTATATGCTCATAAAATCACATGCATATACACACACTTATTCACAAAGAACTGTCACATCATTGTTTTATCCATTTCATAAAAGAGGAAGACGGCTGTAAGGGATAATCGCCCCCATTTTCAAGGTGGGAAAACTAAGCCCAGAGGAAAGGGGTGACTTATCCAGGGCTGACCCAAATGGGTTAGCCCCAGCACCCCTCCCCTCCCTGACCCTCTGTGCAGGAAGCACCAATGAGAGAACAGGGTGGGGCATGAGGGAAGCTGTCACTGGAAGGATGGGGGGCCCACACCATCTTATCCAGCCTGCAGTCTTACTGGGGCCACAGGCCGCCTTCGTGCCAGTGTCCCAACCAGCCGGGTTAACTCTTGTGGCTCTCCCATGGCCAGCCCAGGGGCCCTTCTCCCTCTGGCCGGGGCTTGATGGATGGTAAGGCCTGGCGCTCCTCTCCCAGGGCATCACGGGAGAAAAGGAGTCACTCTTGCACTCTTGCTGCCTCTTGCTGGGATCTTGGCTCCTGGCTGGGATGGGCTCTCCCACTCACCTCCTCTCCTCTCCCTCTAGGCTGGGGGCTCAGTGGTACCTTCCTTAGAAGGATGCTGCAGGACATGTGAGTGAGCACGGTGGAGGCCCAGGGGTGAAGGGGGACACCCTTCTGGTTGGGGGACAGGGTATCATGTCAGGGCTCAGAGGGCCAGGTTCCTGGCCTGGCACCTCCAGTGGTGGTTCTTCAGGGGTTATTAGATGAAGGGTAACGCCCCGACCATGGGGCTCATGGCACCAGCAGAGATACGCAGATGGGCAGAGACCATGCTCATGTTCCTATCCCAACAAAAGGCCTCCGCTTCTTGATGGAGACAGGGGACGTCCAGGAGGTCAGTAACTCACCAGCTACTCTCCCTCCTCCTGCCCCTGCCAAGACCCCTAGCCCAGAAGTCCCCCAAGTGAATTCTCCCTGTGGTCGGGAGCCCGGTCTTGGAGGTGCCTCCTGGGTGGGATTCAGGCCCCACAGGGTCCCTCACTCAGTCTGAGTGAGAGTTCTGTGCATCTGTCCTCACGCCTGGTCCCTGGAACCTGCAGCCCCAACCACATATGCATGCACGTTCCAGTCAGCTTTAGGACCTTTGCCTACAGGCCTCCCCTCGCCCTAGGGTCCTCAGACTGGCCTTTGGAGGGATGTAGAATTTGGGACCCTTTTATGTCCACCTCACATACTGCAGGAAAGCTGGGCTCAGTGCCTCATTGGCTGATCTCTGACCCAAAACTCAGGTTTCCTGAATATTCATGTGCTCCCATGTGACCTGCGACCCATGTCCCTCTCCCCAGGTTCCCCGGGGACCCTGTTTCCTGTGGTCCCCGTTAGCCCAGCCTCTCCTCCACGGGTTAGTGTCCACTGCCACCCAGGTACTCCTCTCGGAAGCCCACAGGACTGTAGGCATGCAGCTGCGTTGCTGTTCCCAACAATGTCCCTTCTGCTAGGTGGCCCCAGCTTGTGGTGGGGGGAGGGGCCCCTGCTGCCTGCCTCTGGCAAAGGCCTTTCGGCCAACAGTGCATGCTGGATAGCGAGCCTCACCCCCTGGGCTTGCGTGGGAATGCTTCAGCGGTGCCCACTCTCCCAGAGCCCATCAATGCTCAGTGCTGCTACCGCTTTGCTCCCACTGGTCACTCAGCTGGTCTCCGTCCAGGACCCCAAGGGCCATGGCCAGGGCAGCCCTTGGGCCTCTTGCCTCCTAGAAGCAGAGGGGGAGGAAAATGTGGACTTAGCTCTGGCCAGGAGTCCTCCAGCGGGTATGGTGGGAAACCCACTGTGGTGAGGCCCGGAGACCAGAAGAAAGGATTCCACCCCATTTCTGGCAGGCACTCTGGGGTGACAGAGGGAATCTGTGTATCAGGCCAATATTTATTGAGCATCAGTACGCCAGGCCCTGTTTTAGGCACTGTAGACACAGCGTAGATAAGGCTTCCTGGAGCTGACGTTTTAGTGGGAGAGACAGAGTATTAAGTAAAATATATAATAAGATGGATGCATCTGGTTTTATGGGGATTGAAACTGAATACAATTTGGGCGGGCCTCATTAAGAAAAAGAATACAGACCTACAAGTCCCGTATCAGGGGGTGAAATTGAATATTTATTTAGAATGAGAAAAGAGCTCACAACAAGTTGAGGGAGGGGCTGTTCAAAAGGAGGCCCAAAGCTTCCCTTTCCCCAGCGTAACTACAGGTGCGTCTCTGACGCCTTGGTGATGGTGCCCTGGATAGAAATAAGACAAGGGAGGGGCCGGGGAGGGAGCATGGGGTGGAGGGAGGGAGTTGCAGTTTCAGGCGGGGTGCAGGAGAGGCCTGGGGAGGAGATATTTGAGTCTGTGAGGGCCTGAATGGCCCTGAGATGGCTTCTCGGTGGGAGGCGCGCTCCAGGCAGAGGAAGCTGCCTGCTCATCGTTTTCCATTCTTGTGACCACTGAGTGAGGTGGGCGAACCCCTGGCCCTGTCTGAGGGATACGGAAACCCAGTGAGCCTGCTGTGTGCAAGCTTCTGCTAGGGACTGGGGTTTCCATACATTCAGGAAATTGCCGATTCTTTATCCTAGAAGCCCTCTCAGAGAGGAATGCTGAAGCGGAGAGAGGGGTGGGGACGGGGCCAGGGTCAACAACAGGGTGTTAGAGACACGGGGGCTGGGCGGGGGAGGCCGCCTGCCTGGTCTCCAAATCTTCCTCTTCCCTAGCCCAGACCCCTGAAGCCATCCAGACCTCATTCCCTGTCTTCCCTGCCTTCACCACGTCCCCGTCTTTCCAGGGCACTGAGTGAAAGGCTTTCTCCTCGCTGGGGAGGGGCTCTAATTCATGGGCACTAACACCAGCACAAAGACCCCCGAGCCTGACACTAGCTGCCCCAGTCTGGCGCGTCCTGCCGCCCCCTGCTAGCACTTCTCGGCCACAGCTGCCCCCCCCCGCCCCCACAGGTAAAGAGGATGGGCGTTCCTGCAAGAAGGTGACCATCCGTATGACCATCCGAAAGAATGAATGCAGGAGCAACACCCCCGTGAGTGGCGCCCGCGTGGCAGTGGGACAGGGGGCTTCGCGGGCTGGGCTACACAGTCTGCCTCACCCGCCTGCCCCCCTCCAGGTGAACCTGGTGTCCTGCGATGGGAGGTGCCCGTCCGCCAGCATCTACAACTATAACATCAACACCTACGCCCGCTTCTGCAAGTGCTGCCGGGAGGTGGGTCTGCAGCGGCGCTCTGTGCAGCTCTTCTGTGCCACCAACGCCACCTGGGTGCCCTACACCGTGCAGGAGCCCACCGACTGTGCCTGCCAGTGGTCCTGAGAGCTGGGGGCCACCTCTGCCGCCCCCACCTTCTGCTTCCAGCTGGCATGCCGGGGCGACGGGCCCGGGGGGCGCCGCAGGCGTGGAGAGCTGGAAGTGGCAGGCAGAGGCCCAGAGAGTGACTAGAAAGGGCCACACCTGCCCATCCTGGCTTCTTCTCTGGCCTCCGCCTCCCGCATACACGGGAAAGTGCCACACCTGCGGGCCCAGGGAACTCCACTCTGTCCTTGGCCGAGGTCTGGAATGGGCCCTAGGCCTGACTCTGGCTGCAGGGGGAGGGGGTGAGAGCTTTCCTGGGAAGCCAGGACCAGAGCTAGACTCAAGACCACGTGCAGGGCCAGGATGGGGTGGCCCATTCCTTTTTGGCCCTTTCTACCCCGGGAGAACCACAGACACAGTAAAGGGAAGGGAAGCTTTAATTGCAACACACAGGCAGGAGGACTTCCCAGAAGCAAAGAGGGTGCGTTCCCAGGTCCTTTCACCAATGTCTGTGAGGTCAGGCCCAGAACCGGTGAGTGGGTTCAGTGACCTCGAGTCCCCAAGAGGGATGCCCTGGTATTCTGTCGTTGACCTTGCGGTTCAGGAAAGGATTTAGGAGAACAGACCTGTGCCTGCTCCATTTGCGCCCCCCACGCCAGTCTTCCTGGCAGGTGAGCTGGCTCTTGTGGGGTGGGGCAGGAGCCCCCAAGGGCCCTTGGTTTTTCATGGTACCTTCAGCCTGGAAGGGCAGCGCCTGGCTTTGCAATGTGCCTTTTCTCCAAGGACATAGAGTTGATCTCTAGAGGGGCCTGAGTGTGTTCTGTGGCTCAGCCAATTCCTAGCTCTCTGCTTCGTGGGACTGTTTAGCAGGAGACCATCTGTCAGTAGAAAATGCAGGCCCTACACACGTACAACGGGTCTCCCAGCATTTGTCAGAGCCTTGTCTCTGAACCAGAGTGTTCTTCTTAAAGCCAGGGCTAGGGTCCCCTTCACACCCCCCTCTGCAAGTCACCTCCCATGCCACTTTGTGCTGCTGGTCCAAAGGGCATGGACATGAGGTTATTCAGGCCCCAGCACCGCCCTGATATGTCTGGGGATGTGGAGCTGCCCTAGTGTCCCTAGGGTTGGGGTTAGAGGCCTGTGCCAGGATGGTCCCCAGCTGTTCCTACAGCCTCTTTGTTCTTGTATCTGTATTCTGGTTCTGTATCTAATAAACCACGGAAAGACACCAGGCCTCTGAGCATCTCTGAGGGTGCCGGTCTGCTTTGAACCTGAAGGAATTTCAGCTGTGAAGAGAAGACCCTATTTAACGGCCCTGAAGGTCACTCCAACTTCTCCTGGCCCACCTGCCCCAGCACTGTGCCCCTCCCCCCCACCTCAGCACTGCCCCCAGCTTGTTGGAACTGAGCTGACAGGAGACTGGCTCCCAAGGGAAGGGGTGGGAGGAAAGACGAGGACATGAGGAGCTGGGGAGCTAGCGCCCCAGTGGGGGGCCTCAGTTTGGAAAGGTGGCCTCAGGCTTTCAGATGACTGTTCATCTCCTGCCTGTCACTGACCACCCAGCTTTGTAGACTTGGCCCTCCTGGGCTCCAGCTGGGGGCACCTTCCCAGCGCCCGCCCCACCCCCACCATGTACTCCCAGGTGACCTCTCTTCTGGTGATCACACCCATCACTGGAATCACAGTGCTCCTGCCTTTTCATCCCTCCTCACCTGCCCTTCCAGCCAGGCATCCCCTCCTGCCTGTTCCTCCTGGAAGCCAACCTCCCACCCCAATCCTCTGGCCAAACATCTCAGTCCTGTTCCCTCAGCTTCCTCCTGGTAGACTCAGACACTGCAGTGAAAGATTAACAAGAAGCAAATCGTCACCCAGCAGGATACCCTGCTCTGTGCTATGGAGAAGAAAGGAGACAGTAAGGAATTTAAACCTTGTTCAATGTTGCCCAATTGCCCTCAAAAAGCCAGTACCAGGAGTGTTGATATCAGTGTTCATTAAAACAATTTGGAGATGGTGATTCACATCAAAAATACCTATACCTTTTGATGAAACTCTCGAATTTCTAGGCAGCTATGATAGGCTGTAGGATGGTCTTCCACATATTCGTGCCAGGAACCTCTGAATAGGAGATTTGACATAGTAAAAAGGACTCTGCAGATGTGAATAAGACTCTTGAGGTCGGGAGGGGATCCTGGATTATCCAGGTGGGCCCAATGTAATCCCAAGAGTCCTCGTAAGAGGGAGGCAGAGGGGTCAGAGTCAAAGGACATGGAATGACAGATGCTGAGGTTGAAATGATGCACTTTGAGTTTGGAGGAAGGGGTTACTGGCCAAAGAATTTGGGCAACTTCTAGAAGCTGGGAGAGGCAAGGAATGGATTCTCCCCTGGAGCCTGCAGAAAGAACACAGGATTGCCCACGCCTTGATTTTAACCCAGTGAAACTGATTTAATACTTCTGACCTCTGGAACTCCAAGACAATAGATTTGTGTTACTTTAAGCCGTTAAGTTGGTGGTAATTTGTTACAGCAGCTATAGAAAACTAATACGGCATCTAAAGAAGTAATTCATAAAAGGATGCAGGTGCCTGACTGTTTATATAGCATTGTCTTAGTCCTTTTTTTTTTTTTCTTTAAATAGTAACAACTTACATGCCTACAGAGAGGGAAGATTAGATTACCTGGTACAGCAATACCGTTGAAGATTATAGAGCTGTTTCATATACTGACACAGTGAGCTCTCCAGGATATGTTAAACAAAGAAAGGAAATTGTGTGCCAATTCCCACAGAATGACCCACCTTCTTTATGCACCTATGCAGGGACAAACACACGCACACACGCGCACACACACACACACATACCAGTCTCATTCCCTTGAAGGGTTTTTAGGCCTGAGGAGGGCCCTTCCTGGCTGTTTGGGCCAGCTGGTTCAATGGCAACGTTGGTCCCAGAACATCCTGTTTGGTTCTGAGGGCCCCAAAGACTGTCACTGTGTACAGGAGGATGAAATGATCACCCCAGAATAGACTCAAGGCTCAAGGGGTATCTATGGCATCTCCCCCATCCCCACTCTCTTCCTATAACTTACAGCTTGAGGGGACCCTCCAGGCCACACACCGGACAGGTAAGAAAACAGAAACCCAGGACGCAGCCCCTCTGAGAGCTGGTAGCTGAGCTGGGCGGGTGCCCAGCCTGCAGGCCCCCCGTGACATCTTTGCAAACACGAGGGGTTTTGAGCCCCAGAACCATCCCATTTTCCGTGCTTTGGGCTCAAGTTCCCGCCCCGATTTTCTGGGCTTAATCTTCTTCCTGTGGAAATCAATAAGGACATTGTGATGGAATGATTCACGTTCAAGGTCAGGCCAGAGCAAATTGGAGGCGACATGCTGATTTTACCGCCCTCATGGAGTGGAGAGCCAATCCTGCTCACAGACCCCTTAACCCTTTCCTCACCACTCCCAACAGCTGGGTCAGCACCTGCCCGGCACCAGCCTCCTCCCCCAGCACCTTCGCCCTGGTGTGGCCCTTACTTTTACATCTCCCCAAGGCTCTGACCACACGGCCTTGGAGCCTCACAGGGCTCCTGGTGATTTGGGGAAGGCAGATGGCAATCATAGCCCTGAACCAAACAGGAACGATTTCAAGTTGAAGGTCAGATGCTACTTGTATAAGTTCAACGGCCACATCCTGCCCCAGGAAATCTCCGTCCCTGAAGCAAGGCTTTCCCCACTTCCAACCCTCTTTTCAGAGCTCTAAGTCCCCTCTTCCCTGCTGTCCTGGGCTATCCCACTAGAGGAGGTAGAGGAGAAGGGGGACTAAGTTCCTCATTTTTTTAATGCACAGCAAGTCAGATCTTTTCTGTGGCTCAAACATGGTAGAGATTTATGCCTCCCTCCTATAAAAAAGAACAAAACAAAAACAAACACAGGTGTTTCCGAGTAGCTGAAACCTTGCATCCAAAATGATTCAGGGACCCTGGCTCCTCTGTCTTGAGGACTACCATCTTCAGCACATGCTCACCTGCACCAAGCCAGCCCCAGGAGGGCTCAGAGCATGCAGGGAGGTGTTGGGGAAACAAGAATTAAGTGGCTTGCTCTCTTCCACTCACATCCCCCTGGCCAGAAACTGTGTATGTGCCCACAACTAACTGCAAGGGAGGCTGGGAGATGTAGTCCACCTGTGTGCCCAGGACGAAGAGACCTGGGTCTGGAAGATGTCTTCTCAGTGAGGAGGTGGAGACAGTGGGGACAACGCTGAGGAGTTCGGCTGAGTAGGACAGAAGAGAGATAGGGCATGAGGTCAAGGGAAGATTTATTTGTTTGATGGTTTGAGGAAGGCAGTGACTTGACCATATATCCTAGAAGGAGCTAGTGGAGAGAGAAGGGTTTCGCTGGGGGACAGATCAGGGTCTCAGAGGGCCCTTGGCTGGCATGAGGAGGAACAGTGACAGATAAAGGCACCTCTGGCTGGGTGGACCCTGCCTTAGATCTTATTCCTCGTGGGTCCCCCGTGTCTAATGCAGAGAACTGGAAAGTGAGTATGAACATGCCTTTAAGCATAAAAGTGAGGAGCCCGGGCAGCAAGAAGTTAAAGAGGAGAGGGGTGGGCAGATCCGGGGAGCCAGGTGCCCCCCAACATACTGTGGCAGTGCCAGTTAATCCCTTGCAGCAGGCAGGAGGCCTGCACAGCTGTCTCTCCCAAGCTGGAACTGCACACCCAGCCGGCCTTTTGCCCAGAGGTCCTGGCAGCTCAGGGTGGAGGGAAGGGGAGGAGATAGGTGGGCAACATGGTGGGTAACTCATTCTCCAGAGCTGAGCCGTTCTGTAGGCTTGCTACTCAGCCCCCACTTGCCGTGAGGACTGACTTCCCTCTGGGCCAGTGTCCTCGCCAGCCAGGGAAAGCCCAAGTGTGTCCCTGCTCCCGCCACACCTTGTCCATTCCTGCGTCTGCGTTTTTGCCTAGAGCCTTTGCCTCATCTGGAATGCCCTTTTCCTCCCGTTCTCTGGGCAGCTCCTGCCTAGTCTTCAGACCAACCTTGAGCTGCAAAACCCCCGCCCACAGCCTCTTTCTCTTTGGTCCCCAGCCCCCCTCGGCCCTGGGTTCCACTTGTCTGGGGTGTCACATGCCAGTTCAGCATGATGCTCTGCCCAGGGAAGGGGGACACAGGCCCAGCTCCTGCATTCATTCATTCTTCACCCACGTTTCATTCACAAAAGAGGAGGAAGCTAAGGCTCAGAGAGGTTAAGCAACTGCACAGCTGGAGAGTGGGGGACTCAGGACGTGAGCCCATACTTGTCTCATTCCAGAATCCACACTCATACTTTCCTTCTCATTGGGAAAAGCATGAAGTGGACTGCTGGGTGCCTAATAGTTACCATCCCAGGCCCCTTCCTCCCAGAGGCCAGAGAGGACGGTGGAAAGAATATTCTAGTCTCTCTTTGGCCAGTTACCAGTTATAGGATGTTGGCAAATGTCAAGCCTCAGTCCCCTGCTGTGAGGAGGGGCGACAGGTTCTACATGCCAGGGTTGGCATGAGTGTCAAGTGAGATCATGGATGGGAACAGGCCGGACAACTGCAGAGTCTGCCACCCTGTGTGAAGCTGCCTGGCTGAGCCAGGAGATCTCAGCCCGAGCGGGGCGCGGAGCAGGAGAAAACCTGGAGCCCAGGGCCCCACGGACCCCCAGCCCACACTCCCTGCAGGAGCTCTCAGGCTCACGACTGAGCCTTTGTGCTGTGGCCAGCCAGCTGTGCGTCCTGCCCCTGTTCCCCCTGAGCTCAGTCACTGTTTATACATGGTTGGAGCTGAGCGAGCAGCGTGCTTGGGGGAAGAGCCTGGATGACAGGGTCCGGCTCTGTCTCTGAACAGCTATGTGATTTATCCTCTCCAAATCTCGGTTTCCTCATCACTACAGTGGAAATGAGAATCTGGCAAAGTGATGGTGAGGATGTTTACAGACAAAGCCCCTGGCCTTCCATAGGCATTTAATGAATGAAGCTATTGTTGCTACTGCGGACAGAAGTTTTAAGGTCATCTTCTTCAAACTCCACATCTCCGGGAGCAGAAACTGACCCTAGAGGGAGACAGTGACTTACCCAAGGTCTCACTGCAAAGTGAGCAATGGCAGAGCCAACACCAGACTCCAAACCCAGTGCTCCTTCCATTGCATCTTCCAGGGAGTTTCCTCCAACTTCCAACCCATACAGGGTCTCCTTCTTTGACCTCACAGCCT